TCTTTCTGCCCTCAGTTTTGTCTTCGGTAAGTGAAAATCATGCCCAATTGGGTTGAGGTCAGGTGACCCAGTTCCATTGACAGCTGTACATGCCCATGCAATAAAACTCTCCACCATGTTTGACAGATAATGTGGTATGCTTCAAATCATGAGCCCTTCCTTTCCTTCTCTATGCTCATCTCTTCCCATCATCCTGCTACAAGTTAATCTTGGTTTCATATGTCCAAAGAATCTTGTTCCAGACCTGGACAGGCTTTTTTATGGTTTTTTTTTGCAAAGTCAAATCTGGCCTTTCTGTTCTTCAGTGTTACCAGTGGTTTGCATCTTGAGGTAAACCCTCCATATTTACATTCATGAAGGCATCTCTTCATTGGAGACTTTCACAATGATACACTAACCTCTAAAATGTCCTTGACTTGCTTAGATGTTGTGAAGAGGTTTTTCTTCACCACAGAAAGAATTCTGTGGTGTCTGATCTACTCGCACCAGTGCAACACACACTAACACACCACCACGTCAGTGTCACTGCAGTGCTGAGAACAATTCACCACCCAAATAATACCTGCTCTGTGGTGGTTGTGTTGGGGTCATGACCGTTGATGAACGGGGTGAACGTTGGCTAACAAAGTATGCAGAGAAAGAGATGGACAATAGTCTCAAATAGTTGAACTACAAGTGCACCTATATAGTAAGTGGAGCTGATAAAATGGACAATAAGTGTAGAAACAAAGAGGTTGTCATAATGAAATGCCTAGATTGTGTATATATTTTTAGTGCCTGAATTCTGTTTTTCGTATCAGTTTAGTTTTTAAATGCATCTTTGATTATACCTCTGAATATATACTTTTTTGTTTGTATAAGTACAAAGTCAAAATACATCATGCGTGTTAATTTGAATTGGATATATACACTGGAAGTATATTAAATAACAAAAACAAAAGTGTGTGAATACCTGTTTTCCTTCACTGTAAACTTTAGCTTCATTTCTATTTGTTGTGATGCAATAAATAAAAAAAATAATTAAGTCTTGATATAGAAAATAATCCATTACTTTTTGGGTTGACTGTCGATTATGAATTTCTTCTATATACCAATACACTTAAGTGAGGTATAAGTACTTTGTAAAAATGGAAGCATGGAGCAAAAAATGTGTGATTGAAAGTCAAAAAGTATCACCAATTAAACATACTTACGTATAGAAAAGTAAATACGTGTTAATGTTTTGAAGTTGTCTTTGTGGGGAGTGTCGTGGGGCGAGTAATTGGTGGTTGTGGTTCTAGCACCAAGATGAATTAGCACATTTGTAGGAAATTGCGTTTTACACTGATATGAATTTGATCGGATGTTTTAATAAAAACACTCAAAAAACTCAACTGTTTGGCAAGAGAATAAGAGAAAAAGCTTCAGTGGCAGCCTAGTTTGAACAGCTTAAAAGCTCAAGTGAGAAAGGACTGAAAACTCTGGCTTTGAAGCCACTGAAAAGTGGCCAGCTTTGGTTTTGTTTCAGTTTCATTTGTGTTTTGTTTGTTTGGAGAGGAAATAAAGAAATGGCTGCTGCAGACATTTCTCCGGCCTCCAGTGTCCCTTCTGTACCCGGGGTAGCCCAGGCAGTGCTACAAACATATTACTACTATATTTACTAAAAATTAAACAGCTGCAATTAGCAGTTTTAACATATGCTTAAGTTATAACTTAAACCATTAGTAGATGCTTTAATCTAAAGTCACTTGCGGTACTTGTTATGTTGCACTTTAAACATCCTGCATCCGAAATTCTGGGAAATTCCGTACATCACTAGTTTTTAACTGGTTTAGGCTTTGCACCCTAACAAATGATGGAACTTACGTTTAGCTGGTGCAGTTGGCTACAGATCTTAGAGATTCATAGCGAGTACTTTGAAGGTCTAATGAATTGGAAATGTAATTGAGTAAAAGTACAAGCATTTTATTCCTGATGTTAAGGACATCAGCTCACGACAGTTGTAACCAACTTCATTTTTACTTTTATTTATTAATTTGTCTATTTTGTCATTTGAATGAACTAAAAAAAAGAAACCTGAATGGAACTGAATGAAAAAAAAAGTTTATTCCCATAATATACACACAGTACATCATTTCCACAAAATGTACAAAGTGCAATATGCATCGAAAACTACAGCAACTTCGCAGTACAAAAGACAAAATTACTGCATACTTAAATATAAAACAAACAAAAACAGAACAAAAATGGTAACAGTGGTGACAGAGAGGAAGAGAGAGGTGAATCGAGAGAATTGCTTGTCAGAGTGAACTTTGTCACGTTATGACCTCTGCTAATATGGCTGCTTTATCGGTCACTGATTTAGGCCCAGGCCTGCTGTAGCCTGGTGTCAGATTAATAATGTGAAGACCTCTCTCTCGGTCACTGTAACCATCCTTCCTAAAGGTGCAATAAAAGTGGCATCAGCTAAAGAACGTGGGAGCGACAGTGGTTACTCAGGAAACAAATTCTATACTGTGGCGTTTTAACGTTTTTCTTTAAAGTATGACTTTGGTCATGGCCGAGCCACACTCTACTTAAAAAGCCTCTTTTCTTTTTTTTGGAATGAAGAAGTCAACACAAAAACTTGGCAACTCTATAATGTCTATTTGAAGCATACTGGTCCCTCCCCTCCTCGCAAATTTCTCAAAAGTCAAACACTTGGATTCTCCTTCAAGCTAATCTAAGAGGTATAAAAAACTAAGTTGAATTTAAGAGCACAGCGATATCGAACTGGGGCAGCCGAGACGTAAAATGTCTGCCAGCTTTATATAACGAAACTGCCTGTCTAACCATCATCTCTCTCTCTTGGCCTGCTTGGCAACGTGATCGGAGGGAAGATGTGTAGGAAACTGCCTCTAGTGTCTTTGGGTAAGGCACTTTTACACTGATAACGTGACACGAAACACAGCTGACCTGGACCAGCTACTCTCTCTCTGTATGACCTATGGACCTTGACGTGGCAACACAGGCAAGACGGCAAAGGTCCGGTCGGAGGGGAGGAGGGAGTTCAGGGACACAACACTTGAAAATGCTCTTGGCGTGAACTAAAGCTCAGTGGAACGGGATTGGCAAGCACATTAAAACACAAACGTTTGAGCACTAGGGGGCAGCACAGCTGTCCAGGCAGCAATGGCCCAGGCTTGCCCCAGGACATCCAGCTACATACTGAAAACTACGCATCAACCAGTGACAACAGCCTCAAAGTCAGACTTGATTCCAACCAAAAGCCCTCACGTACTTGTTCCAACCAACAGTCCATCTTATGAAGGTGCACAATGCACAGTGTTTCAGACAGTTTTTAACTGACCACTTTTGAATCTAGACTCAACATCCACTTTGTTAGAAACATCTGCCTTGCACTTACACTATGAGGTCCACCTACCTCATATGTCCACTATATAGGTACATAAGTACAGACTGTAGCACATCTGTTGACCTCCTCTACCCTATTCATCACTGGTGAGTTTCTGACCACAGGACCAGTACTGACCACTGATGAAGGGTCACATATGAGGAACACATATTGTGCGAGGCCTCACTGGGCAGTGTTGCACATTACAATCTGTGATCACAGCCTTTGTCGTCCACTGCCCGGTGACCCATACTGTACCTGAATACCCGTAGTTACCCTTCTTGGTATAAGGCAGGGTAACAAGCCAGAACCTGTGGAGCTAGAAATAATGGAGACCTTTCAATTGGTCAAACGCAATCATCACAGAGTTGTTACATCATCACAGGAGGAAAACTGAGACGACTACCATTTCTAAAAATATTAACTTGCCAGAATTGCTGTCTGTGACTGTGCACTTGAAAACAAGTGCAGAGTAAAAGGTAAATCTTTCAATGGAACTTGAAGCTCCGTTGCTATTGTTTGTGTTTACTGTTTGCACTAGCGTCGTGTGAGAATCAAGTGACCTCTGGACACAACCACCGTAGAATCTTGCCTACTTTCATGGTTCTCTTGTATGAAAGGAAACAGACACAAGTATCTGATCAGGGTACGGACAGTATGGATAGATTAATGACTGTATTGTACCGTATTGCACTGCCCTGTGGATAAATGCCTTAAGTGTACACCAGCTAGATGAACCTGTAAGGTACGGGTTTCTAATAAAGTGGCTGGTGAGTGTATAAAGAGAACTCTTCTCTTTTTACTCCTGAAGGACCCCTGAAAGACAGCTAAACATGGTTATGTGTCATGGACTTGACTTGCCGAGGGGTCTATGGCAGTGGTTCTGAAAATGGACCTCAGGGACTCCCCCCCCCGGCGGGATGTTCCAGATTTCTCCTTCAACCTAACTTACAACATGTATGCATAGAGCAAAAATGTGTACTGTACGGGGGTCCCTGAGGACTGGTTTGAGAACCACTGGTCTACGGAAAGAAAGTAAGGGCTTATTCTTCTCATCAGTCAGAACTCATTCATTCTTAGTGGAAGCATTTATAACAGCTTTTGTCAAGAGTCTTCTGTGATCCTATAGCATGCAAAACTGTAAACAACAGGTAAACTCATCGATCAGCTGCGTGTCCTTGATTACATTAGGAGTCAGTGCACTTTTAGGGGGGAAAAAAAAAAATCACCAAAATGCCCAAATGCCCAAAACACAATTCCACATCGTGAGCATGGAAAAGAAAACTTGTAAACTCCAACCGACAACAGATTTCTCAGACGTTGTGTGGAAACAAAAGAATTAGCTTTGTAGTGTCAACCAGAATTCTGGTGATAATCTGTCGTTACCTGCCCAAAAACAGTGTGTGAACTGCTGCCCCAAAGAAAACATACAACACTGCTCCTTAATGTCTTTTTGGGGACCAGTAGGAAGATTCAATTAAATCACCATACAGGCGTACAGTAGCGCTTCTTCAGGCCAGAGAGCGCATGATATGTATGGACACATCAGCAAACATGAAGAGGAGTTAATTCAAGTCAAGAGGTGACCCGACTCAGCTGAATACTGAGGGAATCCAAATGCCTCCTGTTTTGAAGTCGTCATCAGGACACAGGTATTGTCAGTTGACCTCTGCCATTTCGGAACCTACACTCATCAAAAGTTTAGCTTTTCCTAACTTGTTAATAAATGAGCATGTTTTCTTTGTCAGTTTGTAATAAATTTACTTATTAAAGACTAAACATATTTGCTTTGAAGACATTAATATCATGTATAAATATCCCAGTGAAGGGCAGTTCAATCAAAATTAGATTGCTGTACTTTTTAAAACTCAGACCACAAATCCAATGTAGGTGACTTGACAAGAAAGGTGTCAAGCTAAAGTCTTTAAGACACCTGTATTAAAACAGACAAATGCAAACTACCTGTTACCTCAGACAGCATCACTAGCCTGGCCACTCCATAACTTTTAGCCTGAAAACTTAGTTTGTGAAAAGTTAGTTTGCTGATATCAAACATGATAAATTCTGTAAAGAATGCGAGTTTTATTACGTTAAATCTATGAGTGTAAAGTGAGCTTGAGCTTCTTGTTTTTCGGTGCTTTTCCACACCACTTCCGGTGTGCTGAAGCTGTGCTTTGTACTGTCTGCTACCAAGCACCAGAGATACAGTGTGTGGTAGCCTTTAGACATCTGCAGTAGTCTTTCTATGCTTCCGTCTGTGGACGAAACAGATTAGAACGGCGCTACACTGCCCTCTGGTGGAATATAGAGGCATATCATACTTTGTTAACAAGACAACATATAATGTTGGAGAAAAGCTAATTTGCGTGTTAAAAATCCTAATTTACTATTACTTTTTTTTAATCTTTCATGACTACTCGAATTTAAAAAAAATGATAATCATCCCAAAAATATTTCTGATATATAATAACTAAAAAACTGCTCCACTGCTTTATATAGTCTTTTTTTAACCTAAATTTTCTACCAAGTTTACTTGTAGCCAGTTCCACCAGCTAGCTAGGTCTCTCCCTCACATGGTACTACCAAGCTGGTAGGGTGAAGGCTAGCACATACCTGCTGAGAGACACAAAAAGTGCTGCTGCATCTTTTCAAACTATCATTGGACCAAGGAGAGTGCTAAATAAGAATTACATCAGCTAACAGACGCTCGCATTGCTAGCATCACACTGAGTGATGGGGAGAGAAGGAGTACCATTCTACCCACCCAGAGAAAGCGAGGCCAGTTAGGCTCTATTGGTTTCCTGACTACAGATGGCTGTGGCATCACAAGGGATCAAACTCATTATCTCCTGATAATAGGGTCAATGCTTAGATGGCTGAGCCTATACAGTAATTTTTTTGCATATTTGCATATATGATATTCTTTTCCTCATAGTATACTTGCTTAGTCTACACTACGTTAATACAACCCTACAAAGAAAACATACTCATATATTAAAGACAAGTTAGATGTTTTAACTTTTAAAGAGGACTGTATACATATATCTCTATTCTTTATGTACAGTGCATTGCCATGCGTGTGCATTACAGTGGAGGATGTTTGTGTTCTATGAGCCTGCTCATGACCTCATCGCTAAATACTAGCGCACTCACACACTCTGAAGGACTTTTTCCTCGATTTCTCATAAATATTTCACAGTAATCGCACAGATGCCGCTCACGCTCATATGCACACTTGTATACAAGACACGCACACACAGTTCACATTTCAGAAGCACACGGCTGACACAGTAACAGCATAGTTGAATGTACAAAATAAGAGTTTAAAAAAAGTAAGTAAAAGTTGAAACGTGTTGCATAATAAAAAACAACCTCAAGTAATTCAACGTGAGTCGCAATTGGCCGACTGATCTGGAAATAAAGGGAACGAACCTGCTGAATTCACTTGAAAGAACCAGCATAATATAGATTGGTAATGCATACGTTAGTGGGAGTGAGAAAATGCATTACTATACTGTAGAGGGGGGTGATAAGCGGCAGACCTTCAGAGATGGGACCCTCAGGATATGCACACATACCCACGCAAGCACATGATGGATCCAGGTCATGTGTGATCTTGACCAACATCAACAACTTCCAAACTCATTCCCGGATAAATGGAACTCTGCGGTAAGACACCACTACTGTTAAAGGAATGGTTTGGCAAAAAATCTACACAATTTTCCACTTATCCCAGATGTAGTGGATCGGTTAAGATATGTTTTGTCTAAATTGTGCTTCTTTACTTTAGTGCTACAGCTATGAGGCTAAAGCTTTAGAAGTCAATAGTCACCTAAGTCTTTTCTGCAAATATATTCCTACAACTCATCAACACATCCTCAACATCTCAACACATTCAAACTGCATACAAAATGTCAGTAAGTTTTCGCAGACCTGTCTGTGGTTTAGGACACAGTGTGCCTTACTGTGAACTATAAAACTGAATGAAATTTTATCACGTAACTGAACGCAGCCATTTTAGAGGTCTGATTTCCCTTTACATGCATGCAAATCATGTATTTTTCTTTCTTTTTTACTAATCACTGATTATCATTTTAAAAATAAAAAAAATATGTTTATTAACAGACACAACATAATCTAAGGTCCATATGCTTGCATGACGTGCTTGCACGCGAAGAGTAGTCAACATCCATTGTTTAAAATGCATGTGTTCAGTTACACGGTGAAGTTTTGTTCATTTTTTATAGTTCAGATTAAGTTACACTGTGTCCTAAACCATGTTGACAAGTCCATCCTACCTTAATGAAGACCTTCATGCAGTTGGAGTGAGTTGAGCAAAATGTTGGGGATGTATTTGCAAAGATTTGTTGTTATTTGGCAATTTTAACCTCCTAACTCCAGCACTAAACTTAAAAAAAGAAAAATTTGGACACCAGGCACGTCTCGGCTGATCAACTACATCATAATTTTACGAGGGACAAATGGTGTAAATTGGAATTTTTGCTAAACTATTTCTTTCTTTTAAACCACTTGACAAATGTGGGTCGTGAAAGGGACAAGAGAGGTGAAATGGAGGGACACTACCAAGGTCACAAACTTAACAGTGTTTGTGCACCAGACTTTTTCAGCTTTCACTTGAAAAAGTCTAAATCTTCCTTGAAGTAACTCTTTCGAGAATCAACCTCTCTCTTTATTCCAAGATTTGAATCAGCTTTAACGTGAAATTCAATATGGAAGCTAATGAGTATACCCTAAAACCCAACTAACGTTCCTGGTCAACGGAAGAAAGTTGGTTCTCCTTCAGCTCTTTCCAACTATACCAATGCATAAATATCAAATGAGACAACGGAACCAGTCATCCATCATGTTCGAGAACCAGCCTTGAAATTAATGGCTAACTGGAGTATGGCTTTCTATGGCTGTAATCTCTCTCTCCAAAGAAAACGGAGAACTGTTGCCAAATAATGAGCGGAGAATGTTTCTGGATTCTTTGCTTGCCAGAGCCTCAAAGCTCTAGCCTCAAAGTATAGTGTTCAGATTACCTTATTTCTCATCATTAGTTGTGAAGTGAAATGTACTGTTAGCTAATAAAGATCTTTGTGCTATGTTTCTTGTTTTGGGAAACACATCCCCAGCGATGGTTTTTCACATTGAAGCAAATAAGAGCACCACGAGGAACCAAAACAAAGGGTCCAAGTCAATCAACGGCTCTCCAAAACATCTTGAGGAAGGTTGTAAATCTTCACACACAGACACACTTACCCACCCTAGTGTTTTTGACATAATATTCCAATAAAGCCTAACCATTATCGTGCGTGCAGTGTTAAAATTCAGTACTAAATGGACTATGGGTTGCAGACCAGAGCAAAATACAGCCAAGCATCTCCAGCGACTTCTGCGGATGTACCGGGCAGACTGAGAGAACAGCACAGAGATTGAAACAGAATTGTCTATTTTTCCCTCCCCAACATTCTAGAAGCCTCACAGCACAGAAAGAGTGACCGGCAATGATCCGGACGTCCTTTTCCTTTGGCTGTCCGGAAGGAGTGTGATTCAAAGTTGTTGTTCAAAGTCAGCAGGAATATGTGATCCACACTGAGACAGGACATAGATGGGTGGATGAATGGAAAAAACAGGTAACAATCTCTCCTGCCTCATCGGGCAGTGGCCTTGGGAAATATGGCTGCTTGGTTCTGCCTCAGACATGGCAGATCAGTTTTAGTAGGAAGGGAAGCGGGGTTGAGCCAAAGCGATGATCTCCTTGGGGGTTTGGCCAATGAGCGGCAAGTGCTCTACATATTTTTTTGTCACACACATTCAGCTTCTGCTCCATGCAACAAAAGCCTTTGATCCAGTGGTTCCCAATGCTGGTCTGGGAGTACCTCTGCTCTGCGTATTTCAGCATTTTCCTCCTTCGCCAGCTCAGGGCGAGTTTGGTAATTGGTGGATTAGTTGAATATGGGGTATTACAACAGAGAATTCCCCAAAATATGCAGCACAGGGGTCCTCCAGGACCAGAGGAACCACCGCTTGCAACCAAGAGGGCGCTCTCGAAATATTTGGCTATTTCTTTTTTTTCTTTGAATAGCATATTCATAGCATTTTTAAACGTCTTTTTGTATTTTTCAGTTCATGTACAGTACCGTCCTCCTCCCACAGCTGTGAGAACATGTTCCCTCTGAGGACTTTTCAGAGGAAAATGTTCCATAAAGGAAATCCTTGTGCTGCAAAACTCTCCCCAGGCATCATCTCACAGGAATCCTTAAGCCTTGTAGTCAGCTTCTGGGCTCAGCCAGGCCTGTCCCCCCTGGACTGAAGAGCCAGTCCGGGCTCATGGCGTGCCCTGGCTCTGGCGACAGTGAGAGGAGCAGCAGGGTCCCGGCATCCGAGGAGCATGCTGAAGAGCATAAATCCTCTGAAGAGAAGGTGAGGCTGCCCAGCTTGGCCAGTGAGTTGGAGCGCTTGAGGCGCGAGGGTACCGTGAGACCGGCAAGCCGTATGCGAGCCTCAATCTCCAGGGCCCGCTGACGCACTAGGCCCGGCTTGCCCCGCACGCTCCGGATACTGTCGCTGCTGGAACTGCGTGTGAGCGTGGAGCCGTGCGGTGAAGACACCGGTGTCAAGCCTCCTGATCCCAGGACAGCTAACAAGGCCTCGTTCGTGAGTGGGACAGCTGCGCCATCTGTGGATAAATCCGCTTGTGCCCCGAAAGGTTCGGCGTAAGGATGATCTGGTCTCATCAAAGGGTGATCTCTTGAGCGATCCTGAAACAGACCCGAGAGTTTCTCCAAGCGCTCAGCTCGCCGACGGACCAGGCCGGACTTCTGGAGGTGTGCTAGAGCCTCCTGCTGTGGTGGGTGGCTGGGTACTGTCACCCTCTCTGACCCCAGGGTCGAGCCCCCATCTCTGGCTATGCCTGTGGACCTCTCCCCAGCCCTGTCTCTCACTTTTAAACCTTCAGTCCCCTCGACTGCCTGCTGCAATGCTCTGTCCTCTCCCCCCTGGTGAAGCTTTTGTGATTGGCTCTCTTGAATGTCCAGGATGGCCGAATCAAGGCACGGATTGGAGGCTGCCTTGCTGCACTTAGCACAGTCACAGCAAGGGCCACAAGCCCTCAGCAGACTGGGCACTACAGGCATGACTGGCACATTGACACAGGCTGGCACCTCAACAGAGATGCTGGGCACATTCCGGAGGGGTGAAGGAGCAAGGACTTGTCCACCAGAATCAGAGAGAGTGCTCTGGCTGGGCTTAGGAGTGGGGAGGGAGCTGGGTTTGCCCATCTGCTTCTTAAGGATACTTTCCTAAAAAGGAACAGGAGAACAGAAAGATCAATCAAGAGTAAACACAGTCACAGTGCACTTCTATATTTTCATTAAATTAAAAATAGCCCTAAAATTTGTTTCTAAACATATTTGACCTGATTGTCCCATCTAACTGCTAAACTGCTAAGACTGAACTTCAGGACATAAAAAAGCCAGAGTTCAACAACTTTAACAAGTAAATAAAACACTTTAGAGGTAAATGATTGCTGAACTCACAGCAAGACTGTTCCGTGTTCTGAGGTGATTGTTGTTGTTGGAGTTTTCATTGCAGAGGTGATTCATGGTTCCCAGATCAATTCCGCTCTCCTCACACTCTTCCTCCTTCTCTTTTGCTCCTACTCCACCTCTCCTCCCCCCCTCGGCCAACGCCTCCATCTCCTCCTGCTCTTTCTGTGCCTCCTCTTCATCCTCCTCCTCCACCGTACTGAACTCCAGACGCAGCCGAAGCTCCTCCAGAGGCTCTGCTCCCCGCGAGCAGGTCTGGGCCGCTGTGCCCTCCCCGGGTACAGCGAAGCGAGGCAGGGGGAGGCCATCCCGCCCTTCAAATGTCTCATCATCCAGGAGGGCGTCCCGCTCAACATCTTCAATTTCAATAAAGACACGATCCACGTCCAGAAGTGGAGGAGCACGGACCGGAGTGGAGGGATCACTGTCCAGTGCAGAGTCAGACAGCCGGCGGAAGTAGTAGTTGTAGTTTTGGGGGTTAGCGGGGTCCAGCTCCAGGGCGAGTGGGGAAGAGTGGGCTGCAGCCTCGCAACATGGGGTTGTGCCGGGGGTCACGCCCTCAGGGTCGCTGCAGCAGGACGCGGCAGCCTGCTGGCAGTCTGGGTGGTCACACTCAGCGTCTGGGCGCCACAGGCGGTTGTGACGCTGCTTGCTAAAGAAGAAATGCAGAGTGCACAGTTCAGCTACAAAACACAGACACACATTTTTGTTTTTTTTTTACAACATTTCACATTTGGATTGGTTAAAGCGATATTTTGGTAAAAAATCTAATTTACACAATTTTCCCCTGACCCTAAAGGTATTTGAGACATGGTCAACCTCTGAAGTTAACTTCTTTACTTTTGCACTGGAGCTACGAGGCTGATGATGTAATGGACGCTTACACTCCATCAATTATGTTGCGCAAAGCATTGCGTATCTGAAAGTGGACAAACATACAATGCTAATACTTTGCAAAGTACTTTTTCTTAGATAACAGTATGTCATTGTCAGGTAAACTGTATCAATCTGTGTCAGTGCTGGGTATTACTACTGTTACTGTTACTGAGTCCGGTCTCGGTCTTGTCTCAATGTCAACATAATTTGGGCTTGGTCTTGTCTCGGTGTTGAGGTAAGGTGGACTCAGAAACTGCTCTTGAGATCAGCCACTGTAAGCAACTGAAAACTTTTAAAAAGATGTTTTTTCCACTACTATTGAATATGATCAATACCTTTAAACAAAATAAAACCATCCTTTCTCTACATGTTTAAATCTGTTCACTGCCAGGTGAGGATCTAACTGATCATTCCATGATAGCCTAACTGGAACAGTTGTTTGTTAATGTTCATTGGTTCCAAAGCTCAAACATCCTCTGAGGGCAAATCAGAATGTTTTTATAACTATGCTTTCATTTATTAATAAACTAAGCAAACTGAATACATATTTTTGGTTTATGTTTAGTTGACTTTAGGTGATGATTCTGAATAAGTATTAGATTAGAAGATACAGAGAACAGCCTCACTATCATTTACTTCCAAAAGCTACAATGTATAGCTGGCCTAAGATTACAATGTAATAATAATTAATAATGTTTTAGGCAACATATTATGGATTTTTATGTTTTACAAAATATACTGTAAAATATAATACTATTTATTATTATATATCACAGATAATAAATAATAAGGAATTTACAATGGACCACAAACTAATTTCAGATTTTCTCCCTTTCTTCTCTTTATTTTTCTATACTGAAAAAATTTAATCTGGCCTCAGTCTCGACTAATACAAAGGTTTTGACTCGGACTTGATGTGTCCAGGTCTTGGTCTTGACTACAACACTACAAAACAGGCTATCAAACATACGCAGACATTTGTAATGCATAGTAAGTTTCAATAAAACACCAGTAAAACCCAGTACATGTCTTTTAATTGTGAGTGAATGCACCGATTCCCTCTACACTGAAATAATTCTCTCCTTCAAAGGAGCAAGTGGTCACCTGGCATCCAGAATGCCCTCATATTCAGCCAGCTGTCGCATGAAGTTGTCGTTGGGCCGCGTGATGCTGCGTTTCTGTTTGACAAAGTTGTAGGCCTTCTCCAGAGACCAGCCATACTCTTTCATAGCATAGGCAATGACTGTGGACGCTGAACGGCTCACGCCCATCTTACAGTGGACCAGACATTTTGACTGGTTCTTCCTGTGAAATCAGAGAGAAGGATGTGAAAAAAAAACAAGTTTTATTGTAATAGATAGATTAATAGATAGATAGATAGATAGATAGATAGATAAAAAGATAGATTTTGGGTAACCTGCTCAAATTACATTACAGATAACAAACTTCTGCACATTTAAATGCACAATTATGGTTTATTTGCTGAATTTAACCAAAAAGAAGTAAAACATGTAATATAGCCTGTGTAACTTTTACATACAACTGTATAAGCTGTGTTCCAAAAAATGAAAGCATGCTGAACGTAGTTCTAACTCCTCTGAGCGTGTCCCTTACTTTGCTTTGACAATGAAGTTGTACGTGTCATTCCAGTGGGCCAACAGATCCGTGGTTTCGTCGTCATATACTCGGACGTTGTGGTAGCAAAATGTCCCAGGGAAAAAGTTGTCGATTTCTCGTGTAACGTTTAGGATGTAGCCCACCCTAAAAATAAAGCAAAATGAAGTATGTTCACCTTATCTAAGGGGGCTTCTTAGCAATTTATGAGCATGGCAGAACTAGAAAAGAGAACACTTGTATGTATTTGTTTCATTACTGGCCAAAAGTACTACTGGTAATGTATGTTAACCTGAATGTTTTGCTGTTACAGGCTTGATTAACCTTACTAGAATATTCTGTTTAAACAAGATGCAAACCACTTTTATACTGACCTTAAATTATGTTTGAGCAAATATATAAACTGTTGCATTTGAGGAAAGAACTGAAATTTAAATTTAGAAAGATGACATATTGGAAGTGACATATTAATAAGAGACTTTTCCTCTTTACAGATGTAATGGAACCTCACCCGGTCTCCTGCAGCTCCTCTAGATTGGAAGCGTTCCATTCAGAGCCCTAAAGGAATTACAAATATTTTGGATTTCATCAGTTAAACACATTAAAATCATCAAAATTAAGTCTCACAGTTTCACAGGTTTAGTAACAATTATTGACAAGCAAAAAGAGCTTAAATATGCATCCACTGACCAGGTAGAGGTGGTCGAATATAAGCGTGGCTTTATCCATCTGCCCCAAAATCAGCAGCATCTCATTGTCAATGAACTCTTTGTACTCTTTCAGGTTGCAGTTCATGTGCTGCTCTAACTCATTACGGATCTAACAGAGAAAAAAAGAACACCACACAGTGCACAACACTTCAGATACATCATCAACACTCCAACCAGACTCCAAACTCCACTCAGGATTTGCAACAACTGGCAGACAAGATATTAATATAATAACAACATTTCTAATATTAACTGGTTACTATAATATGTGAAATATATGCTTACTATTCTAGATAGTAGTACATGATATAATGCGCATTTCAAAGTAAACTGAGCATTAAATTAAGCATTAGATCTGATCAATTCTTCTTATTAATAACAATAACAACATGAAAGATAGACAGATAAATAGATAAATTAAATGTATTTATTTCTTTAAAATTATGTGAATTAATTAGTTAATTAATAGCTTGGGAATAAGTGCACTGTATAATGATAATAATAATAACAATCATTATTATTATCATTACTATTATTATAGTAGAAGCATGAAAAAATAAGAATAATGAATTCTTATTACTATTATTACTATTACTATGTATTTACTGTATTATTTAGTGTTAAATAATATGGTGAAAACTATAATACTGTATAAAATATAGTATAAAATATAACTTTACTAAAATATTACTTTAAAATGCACACATTATGAATAATATACTTATTGTTTTTTATTGTTATTATTGTACATATTATATCTACAAAGTAGTTATTATAGTAAATCTTTTTATCAACATATTTTGGTAATTAGATAACAATTAGTTACAACACAATTCATTACTGACACTGTTGATGACAATTGTTAATGTATGAAATGCAGATGATATGTGAATTAATCCAGATTTTATGAAGTTAACGCCAGAAATGTGGTTACATATGTTGTTTTTTTTTACAATGTGGGTGTTTTTGTTCACCTCTTTGGATGTCACGTTCTCCAGGTCCTGGAACATCATGATACTTCTGAGTTTGGTTTTAATGAGGCATTCAGTTCGCTCTCTTTCTGTGGGCCTGGAGGAGGAACATGGAGAACACCAGAGAGCAGTTAAAACACACAGGACGAGTGGGATTTTCCCTAAATGAGAAGAGAAGAGAAGAGAAGAGAAGAGAACTAACTTGTCATTGAACATGGCAGGTGAGTCTGGTCGCATTGTTTCAAGGTCCTGCATGGCGTTCCACTCATTGATGCAGCTCTGCTCTGAGGAGATGCAGCTCTCATAGTAGCCTGTCCAGGTCAGAGACATCCCGCCAGGGAAATAGTTATATCTGCGTGAAACCTCACATGCCTTGTGCAGCACCTGCAGGGCCGACCTGAGGAAAGAGGACATCAGCTCAGGTTTAACTATAATAATGTATAGTAATTACCAAATAATACCCTTCAAAACTGATGACTGAATAATAATACGATAATGATAATAAGTGTGACTGTTTTGCTCATATTTAAGGTTAAAGTTGCACTATATAAGATTTGGGGGATTTGAAGACTTCTCTGGTGAAAATGTGTATTTGCACTAAACATTTTGAACATTCTGCAATGTCAGATGTGCTTCAGACCAATTTTTTCTTCAATTACTTTTTTCAATTACTAAATGTGCTAATGTGCTGCAGTGTAATTACAGCAAGCTAATATCTTCACCTGACAAGTGCATTCATCACCCTACCTATTCCAACACTTCCACTCTGCGGTGATAAAAAAACAATAGCAATCAACCAGAATACTGGATACACCCAACCAACCCTGCAACACCCTTTACTATAAAGCAAGGCACACTGACAAACCCATGAAGAAGACATCACTGAGATAAAATCTCAGCTGAGGTGTGCAAATACAAGGAAAAAACAAAAAGTTAAGTTTAAAGTAAAGTTAAAAACCTAAACCTACTCATCCTAAAGCATACTTCCACGGTGGGTGGACTCAAAGAAGACGACATAATATACGCCATTTTTAGAGAAGAACCTACATTTATTGGAATTATTTATTGGAAAACATGAAACAAAAAATATAAAATGGCCCATAACATGTTTTTTCTCCCATGTTACACTCGGCAAATAAGCAGTAATTCTGCATTTAAATGTGCAAAATTTATTCTATTTATGTTCACTTAGAAAATGAACAAAACATATCATTTCACCAGGGGCATGCAAACTTTTGTCTTCTGAGTTACATGTAATGCTGATGATGGTAAGATAGTGTGAAATTTGAAAAGACATTCTCTCCTCCGCCACTGACTCAGTCATTAGGCAGCGTATTAGTAGGCATTTAATAAGTAATAACTTTCTGTGGGAGTTTTAAGAGGCATTAAGCACTTCAGATGTTGGGTTCCCATCACCACCACTGTGAATAATTTTCCACAACGCCACATTTCACGTCAAACCACTATGGATGACTTTGTTTACATCTTAACCATTCAATCATGCAAATTTTTAAAAATCAGTGGAATTCCCCTTTGACTACAACTACTGCCACTGGCTATTTGCAAAGATTGTCCTTTCTCAGGAAAAAAATTAGTTTTTTTCCCGCTCAGATGATGAATGCCAAATAGGACCAAGAAAAGCACATAAGGAGCAAAGGCCTTTACATTTATACAAAACAGCAATTACACAACTTCACCAGCAGATGGCAGCAGAAAAACTAGGTTCATCATTCTCAGCCAGTCTCCCACAGGTCCTCACAGCATTTGAACAACAGTGTGTTCACACCACTCCAGACCCCAGAGGAGCTTCAGTTTGCCATTCATTCGCAAATAAAGCTCAGAGGACACAGGCACACCCAGCCACCCAAACAAAGGCTTCTGAACGAGCACAATAACTTGTATGAAAGCAATTTTGCTTCTCATCTACTATTATTGTTTGCCTCTTTATGTTCAAATGAAACCCCTCACTGTTTGGCCAAACAGAGAGCGACAGAGACAGACAAACATGAAACCCAAGCTCCTCTGAGTGAGAAAGCTGTGCTAAGAAGAGGTTTTGCCTTTCATGTTGTAATAAATAAAACCACATTCAATCTGAGCATGAACACATAGGCCTCTATGAAACATGAATGCTAATCTAGGTCTGGTTTCTACCTGTTTTAGCCTTACGAAATCAAATGTATTCATTGTATGCACAAGTACTCATAGCTCACTGAAACATTTGTTTTTGTAAGCAGAAGATATATTTTATTACTGGAAAGGTGAAGGCTAGCATGAGCTTTCCTCTGAGACGCTGCATCTTTTTTAAACTGCCGCTAACGCAACAGCACTGGACAACTCAATGCGCTTGGAGAAGAATTATGTCACCTAACAGACGTCCGCTGGCGCTGTGCTAAGCAATGAAGGAGAGGGAGGGCCATCCAAGGTTTGAATTGCGGTAGAGGCCTTAGGGAGGGTCTACAAGGTGAACTACTAACTAAAAGTCAAAGGTATCTAAAGTTCCTCAGCAGTTTGAAATGCACTCAAGCTTTAAGCTTTTCCAGTTTAAAACCGGAGCAATATGGTTTGGTTGTACGTTGTGAGTTCAGGCTGGGCAGATTTACAGTTTACTTAAGGGGGAGCAAACTAATGATGAACATGATGAAATGTAGAAAAGAAGACAGTCACCTCATGTGAGGCCATTAAATTTGACAGAAAATTAGAAATGTATTTAAGTGACCAACCCAAAGTTTAACTTTTTACTCTTACGGAACTTTTTAAGGGAGATGTGGATTCTGGAAAGTAGAAGGATGTATTCTTTAAAGAAACTGACAAAAAACCTACCAGAATCTTTACGTTTTTCTACTGCTAACAGGTTTTGGCCAGTATGAAGGCAGCATTACTACTACTGAGTACTGAGTGCTGATTGGTCAACATTACTGCTACTGAGTGCTGATTGGTTGGTGAGCTGATCAGCTCATTGGCTGAGTGGTGGACATCATGAACGTACATGAGACACTGTCAGACAGCCCTATATCTGGAGTTCAAAATCACTCAAAAAACATAAAAGCAGAGTTAAAATACTGATGTGTTTAGAAAGTTGGTGCATTTTTCTGTAAAATTGAGCTTTATAAACTACAATTTTGCACAAAAGCTCCATAGGAACCCATTCATCTTGGACCCCCTCTAGTGTCTGACAAACCCAGAAGACATTATTGAGTTGCAGTGTATGTGTGTATATATATATATATATATATATACACACGTGTGTGTGTGGTGTGTTTAGCTCTCTTACCACATGGCCTGTACAGACACAGGTTTAAAGATGTGTGTGCGACCTGCTGTGTTCACGCTGAAACCCCTGGAGAAAAGAACAGAGAGGTCAACCTAGGTCATCTCCACCCCACGGTTCAAATTAAGACATTCATTACACCGCCATTAAGCTTGTTTCCCTGCTAATTATCAGGACAAAAGGCTTCTAAACAATGTAAGAAACATTTCTGATTTTATGAGCTCATGTCATTGTTTATGTAGTCTTCTACATCCTATTGTACCTCATATCCAACTTGAATGCTACATATAAATCAATTTAATTTATAAATGGGTAATATGGCAGAAATACAATATCATGAATACGACTGGGTATCGTTAAATATTTAATAACCAATACTGATACCTTCAGTTCAATACCAGTTCCTGATAGTTACTTCATTCATTACCCTCTTTTTAAATATAAACCAAAAGTGGGTGTGGCTTAAACCAGAAATGAGTGTAATGTGCAGGAAGGTATATTAATCGGAATGGACCGCAGACTAATCAAGAGGCACTGATGTCAATAACATGCATACAGAATATACTGAACTGCCGACCAGCAGCCAATCAGCAGTCTAGATGGGTCACAAATGCTAAGACCAGCAACTTGAATTCAGTTTTTTTTTTTTGTACTCCGTAGCATTGAAGTAATTCAGAGGGTACCATAAATGCATCAAATTTGAGTACCCAGCCCTAATCATAATACTTGAACATATTTTCAAAATGAAACATATGTATTACAGTATTAAAGTCTGCAAACAAGTTAAAACAAGCAAAAGAGTAGTGCCACATTTAAATATGGCTAAAAGTACATTTCTTTTTAACTCAATGTTCATGAAATAACAATTTACAAGGGAAAAGGAGGGGAAAAACACCAAAACTGGTAAAAATAAAACAAATGAAACTGGCCAACATGCAACGAGCTCTTTGTTACTATGCAGGTAATGCAGTTTGTTGTTGTTTATGGGCTCTCTATGGCTGTTATTCCATGGTACAATGTATCAGAAACTTTGGCTTTGAAAAATTGACTCTGCTTTTCCTACTGGCTATCAGTCCAGCCTCAAACGATCCAGCTGTATAGTTTTTGGGACCTAACAGAATTTCAGAGTGTTCTCCTCCATGTTTGTTAACACTTTTTTTAATTGCTCTAAATATGTCTTTTTATGATGCATGCAGTTGTTTAGGGTTTTAGAAGTACTGACATACCCATAATATACTCAGAAAGACATACTGTGATGTCATCACATATCATATTGCCTACCAATGTCTAATTTATAGTGTAATATATGTGATATATTATTCATATATCACATATATTAATGTTACGGCATAACGGTTACCCTTCGTAGTCAATCAGCAAAGACATCTATGGTGTCTGAAGTTTGCTTCTTTAGTTCTGCACTGAGCTACAAGGTTAATATAAAATGTCACCCAAATGGAGTTTGTTAGCTACATTAGCCTTGTAGCTCCTTGTAACTTCAGACGCTAAAAATGTCTTGGCTTATCAACTACATTTGGAGCGAGTTACAAAACAGTGTACATTTGATTTTATTGATGAATCATTCCTTTAAAGTGTTTCCAATACAAAAATATCAGCCTCAGGGTTGATGTACAGTCTATATAGTCCTCTGAGATGCTAGAATGTTCTGACACCCTGAAGCTGCATTTGCTGTCTTTGACCATTAGGGGGCAATACAACAGAGCTCACTCACCCGTCTCCATCCAAATGGATCTTCGTGTCGCTCCAGAGAGGCAGTACCATCCCTATAGAGCAGCTCTTACTGTGGAGAAAAACGTCACACAGTTACAAAAGAGGTTAAATCAGTGATAAAGAGCAGAGATCCTGATTTCACTCTCCAAATATTCCCTCCTAAACTTAGCACACTTTTAAGAATCTTGCCAGGCCACCATACTGCCTGGACGAATAGTGACACTACTGGAATTTGGCTTGGAGGAATAGATTTCGAGAGCTAATCAGATGTTTTCTTCCAGCAACCATTATTGCTGAGGCAAAGTGCAATTTTCCACCTTGTTTTTTTTTCACACTTTGACTCAACTGATCTCGTTCCTATGGAGTTAATGCTGTGCTAAATTTTTAAAACAAAATAATAAAACCACAGGCAAATATTAAGTATCAAAATGTAAAATGTCTTTTGCAACATATCATTTTACATTGATACTATGAAACTGTTGTTGCAATCAAAGCTTGTTTTAATTTTATAACCACCATTTTAAAGCACCAGATGCCCTTTTATTATTATGTATTATGTGCTCTTTATTAACATTATATGCACTCAAAAATGTGTTTTTTTGGATGGCTTATTATGATTATACAGGTTGATATTTGTGTCAAATGTGTTGCCATAGCCCAGAGTTCACATTTTTCCACTGAAAGCACAGGCCTTCTCAGTAATTTGGTTTAAAAAAACAATTTGTGAGGCACTATGTAGCTTTGTTTTTGTACGTTACACATAAACTGGTCCAACATACTAAAATATGCTACTGAAAGGATTAAACATGTGGCGACAGGAAACCAATTCTGTCAAATTTCTTACACATTTTTCTAATACACTGAAATTCCATGTGTAGAGCTATTCTAGGAGCAGGTAGCAGTAGCTTAGCATGCTACAGTGTCAAACCCTTACGCCCAAGTTTGATTCCAGCTCAGTGAAGCTTCCCTGATGCAAGTTTAGAGGACAAAGACTCAAATCTGAGGGAGCAAATCGTTGTTTGTTTTGTGTGAGGAGCTGTCATCTAAGCTAGTCATGCTCCACTATCCTTCCTAGTTAGTACTACCCTGCCAGAAAAAACAGCATGGAATACATGCTAGTCTGTGCTGTTTTTTTTCAGCAGGGTAGAAGCTGGAGAGTTAGCTTAGTGGGCTAGCTATAACAGCTTCACACCCCACAAAACAGGTTCAATTTTGGCTCTCAGATGCTCACTTGGCAAGTCTTGGAGCATAAAGCCTCAAATCTGAGCAAGTAGTACTGGAGTCACAGTGAAGTGAAAGACAGAACGTACACTTTTCTTCGGTGTGTTGAGCTATGAGACTGCTAAGCTAGCACAAGCATAATTAGCTCCACTGTACTTTCCTTGGCACTGTTCAATTAATGGATTAATTGTTGATAAAATGAAAATCTCCCTAGTTCATTTTCTGATTATTAATGTTACAGCGGGAGTTCATTTTTGTTTCTGCTCCATCTAAGGTTTTTTTTTTTGTTTGTTTTTACAGGTAGCAGTAGCTTAGCCTGCTATAGTTTCAAACCCCATCACACAAGCTCAATTTTAGCAACGTGAAGCTTCACTGACGCAAGTTTAGAGAATAAAGACTCAAATCTCAGGAAGAAAACCTTTTTTTTGTGAGAATCTCCCTAGTTGATAGTGATACTCCCATCACAGAGAATTAGTGCCAAATCCAGTCATGGTAACGAAAAGGCATATCAAAGTAATGCACATCCAAATCAGTGATGACTCCTACAACTTCATCTGAAGTGAATCACTTCAAATGAAGTGCTGCTACTGGTCTGTTATTGCAGCTGTTCCAGATCAACGTTCTCACCATGCTGACTAAGACTGTCTGAGTGTGTTCAACCACAGTGTCAGACAGCGTGCATTTGATGACCACATAACCACAGGGATTAATGTACTGTAGCAAAGCTCAGGTGGTCAGTCTTGCTGTGGTAGCAGCAGCGCTATCTAAGAACGAAAGGCTTGTCTAAGAGCTAACAGTGACTTAAAAGACTGCAGTCATTGTCTTGACAGCAATCAGAACACTTATGACGAATGTAACACTTCCCATAGAAAATAAACGAGACCTGTTGTGTATTGCCACAGCATAACTAGCAGTGTTTAAAGTCTATTACTTGTTAGTTACATTAGCCTCATAGCTCCAGTACAAACCTGTGTAAATTACAGTTTTCACAGAACTAGCAAAAATGCTCAAGCAGCTAGAAATTAACTGCTCATGCTATCTTTCCTGAAGCGTGACTCTAAATTGATGTGCAAGTGAGCTCACCTGTCTTTGTTGCTAAAGTCCATCCCCAGCAAAATGTTCTCCTCTGTGTCCTGTCTGCCGCTGGTGTAAACAACCACCATGTACCGTACTCGGTCTGACCAAGCACTCTCCAACCGCACTGCCTGATAAACACACATAAATAACCAATACTAATGATCAGAACCATGAACACTCAAAACACTATAGAACCATGAACACTCAAAGAACCCTTTGCATGATTAAAGCGTTCTTTGCATCATGAAAGGGTTCTTCAGCTTGATGAAGAATGTGCTATATATAGTTCTATATCCTTTTAGAAAAGCGCTCTATATAGCACCAAAAAGAGTTTTTCTATTGATTCAAGCTTGACATCATAACAGTAGAAGAACCCTCTTTGGTGTTATATAGAACCCATTTCAAAAAGGTTCTACATAGAAACAGATGCAACACATTCTCCATCAGTCTGAAGCACCATTCCATGATGCAAAGAACCCTTTAATCATTTAATTCTCTTTGAGTGTTCATGGTTCTATACAGAACTATTTTCTTTCTAAAGAACGTTTAAAGAAGCAATTTTTAAGAGTATACCTGGACTACAATGCAAACTGGATGAATTCTTCATAGGTTAGAGTAAAAATGTGGACTGGTCAGTGGGCCCTGGTCATTTAAGGTCTTTTAATTTACAGCCCCTGTAAAACTCCCAAATTCCTCTAGTCTGTGCTCTTTTAATGAGCAAGCAATAACACAAACATAGCAAGCTAGCTAGGGAAACATTAGCAAACAAAATGTTCTTTCCTGCTCAAGCATCAAACATCTACATACTTATTGCATATTGATTTTTGGGGGGGGACTTTTCAGCCAGGCTAACATTAAATTCAGGGGTTAATGACAGGTTTGTTGGTCATTAGACAATGTTAATAGGTGCCCAACTTTGAGTTCCACCTTCACGATTGGTTTAGAAATTTCACACTCATTTTGTTTCCTCTCTAATGAGTCTACCTCATCCACATTTAGCCCCAAATTTCAGATGTTGTCCCTAGACGTACTTGTCACAAGATCACATCTGGCCCCACAAGACTAGCCTTCACCCTCCTAGCTTGGTAGCACTGTGTGACTGGGGGAGATCTAGTTATTAGGTCGGACTGGCAATTAAATGGGGAGAAAACTAGATCAAAATCAACTACAACTGGGGCGTCGTTTTAGCCAAATCATTCCTTTACATTGATCAAATAAAGTGACATAAGAGTGATGTGGGAGACATGTGAACTTGTGAAAATTTGCCCACTGAACACAGGGTGCAGACAAGTGCATTTGGCAAGTGGATTTGGCCACAGTTCCAATTTCACTCAGCGCCTCATACTTGCACATGGAAACACTCCACAATAACGCATGTACACCGAAGCATGTTCTCATCCGTTAATGAACACAACGAAACACACATAGCCTCTGGCAGGCAATAAAATGCGGCCAGGCATGAGTGAGTATGGGTGTTTGAGGGTGTGCTCACCAATTTGATTCGGTCCTCCGAGCGAAGAATGTTGATCATTACCTGCAAGTGCTGAGGTAAATCTCCTACAGAGACACAGAGAGCGAGAGAAAAAACACACTGTTAAAACGAAACAAGACATTGACAACTCAACCTCTTTAACACAGCAGCATTGCTCAACAGCATGACATACTCTGTATATTAGACCAACACAGCAGCAATAAAAAATGAAAAACAGGATTTACAGAGGTGAGGCCAAACAGGAAAAGACAGGCATGAATGATTCACACCTTGATGAGTGAGAAGGCAACAGGCTAACATTTGGGGGGGGGAAAAAAAAAACAACCATGTCTGGGGTGCTGGCCTGGCACCCAAACTTTTGAAAAGTACTTGCAACACACCTCATGTTCAATTTACTGCCTTATACTAGCAGTGACTTTAGCCACACACAAACACATACATACACACAAACTGAATTAGGTAAACTTTATGCTACAAATTTGCGAACATTGTGTGAGCTAATAGAAAACAAAGCCTGCTGTGGTCTCTTCTTTCTGATAACAGTATCACTGATGTGAAGCACCACTCTTCAGAAGCACCAAAAAGCTACTTAACTAATAGTGACTTCTTGAGGCGAATCTTCAGGCTGCTAAATGCAAGTGAGTTAGTCATGAACTAGCTCCATGTGGTGCTTCACATCGTATTAAAAAAATCAGTCACTTGTCACTCACAAACCACAAAGTTTGCTATCATTAGCTGTTTGTTGACCTAGAACCACCTAATACCCTTATTTTTTGCAAGGAAAATAGCAAGACAATCTAATGCGACTGGATTTATACACTGTAACAGCTTGTTGGTAGCACTATCCACTAGTTATTCTGTTCTCTCTTCAATTCAACTGTATTTGAAAAAGCAATTTTCATAACAATCATTGTCCCAAAGCAGCTTTCAAAAAAATCTATGCCTAGGCCACTAATAAGTATCACTGATGGAGACAGCGGCAGGAAAACTTCCCTAGAGCATGAGGAAGAAACCAAAGACTCAAAAGAAGAAACTCTCTAAGAGCATGGGCAAGAAACACTGAGAGGAACAAACACTCAAAAGGGAAAACTATCCTCTTCTGAGCTACACCTGACACTGTGCTAGTGTAGTGTAATAACGCAAAAAATGTCTTCGCTTCTTGTCACCTAAGACTCCTATTCTTTGGCATGATGAGGTGTGAAGTGAGATCCCACCCAAAACAACTTCCCTTTCAGGTTTGGCCACAACTGATGTCCAAATGCATTCCCATTGTGGCATCATATAACTTGGTACTCTCCTTTTATGGTTATCTGGGATTTAAATTAGCATGAACAGTTTTTAGTGATTAAGAAAAACATTAAACAATCATTTTATATGTAGGTTTGTTAAAGTAGCCCCCACTCTTGGCATTCTCTCAAGAAGCCACATGAGGAACCACCTGAGAGCCAACTGTCTTAAGAAGCTCCACAATTTCTGAGACCTTGTTGGCTGCTGAACAACTTGTTTTCAGCAGCCAACAAGGTCTAAATGAGGCATTTATTTTTAAATTAAACACTTGGTCTTATAAACTAACCACAAGCATTTAAGCACAAGTCTTTCAGAATGTTTCAAAAAATGCCTAAGATTATGAAAAACATACAATTAGATGTGTCCAAACACACAACTGGTACTGTATGACTCCTCATAGCCCCAAAGGTGTAGCTACAGGGTGGTCAAAGTTGTATTGTACCTAGCTTATTAGCTTGTGGTTCGTATGTGAGCTTGGAGTTAACATATCAGCTTGTGTCTAGAGCATTAGATCTGCACACTAACGAATTTCAAATTCATTTCAAATATTGCTCTTATAATGTTGAATGCTCTAATAATCATGCCACCTTTAATAACTGTGAGTTCATTAATTGTGTTTGTTCAAAACTGAATTTTCTCACTGGTAATTACAATGACATAGGCTAGTTCTTGGGTTTCCTCCCTACAGTGATGTCCCAAGGACATAATGCTTCCTAGCTCGTCACCTTCCATGCAAAATGAATCATTTTCATTCCACACAAGCTGAAGCACTTTTACGCCTACTGGTTCAATCAGTTGGTTTCAGTCAAACAACCTGCCCTTTGTGGACAAGATGCATATGTCCCTGCATTGAAATGATCATATCCTGTCATGTTTTCTACATAGTTTTCAAGGTGAACTTCAGCTGAGTTTAGCCTTGAAAGTCAAACTTCTGATGCTTTGTGTACGTATGAGCAGAGCGTCAGCTGTGTTTGGTCAGCAAGTGAGCTTGAACTGATAAACTACCAATCAGATCTGGGGTCAGTTAAAAAAATTACACACTCCCCTACAAACACTGAGTCTTCAGGACCTGTGAAACAAAACCTTGCACCAGAAAACCAGTTCTCCAGACAAAGACAAACTGTACGCTCATTTGTATGCATCTCATTCCCAGGCCGGCCTGGCATGACTCTGTGCATTCTCAGCAACACAGGGTGAATATCACGTGGCAGCCAGACAAGCTCATAAATCTCAACCATCATCAGCCTTAAATAACAGTTTGGGTTCCGATCAGATGCCATTTTACACCCAGCCTGTCTGGCTCTTTTTCATTTTCAAGGGGGTCCAAGCACCAAAGATGCTGGGACATTACTGTTCTTGTTAAGATTTTCTGTACTTTTTTGGCAACATTGCAGATAACTAGTGTTCCATCCATCAATCGTGAGTCACCCCCCATGGTTGGCATGGTGATCGGAAAAGGGGGTTGACTAAGGCCCACATCTGAATAAAACCTGTCTGGAAACAGGATTTATGTGAAAGAACAAACCCATCTATTTTGTCTAGTTTCAGGTTTTTGATGACACTGGTCTACTTTCAAAATAAGAATGTTGTTCCAGGTTCAGTTATTGCTCCTGTGCACCTTAACAAATTATGCACGCAAGAGGGAAGCTGATCCTAGATCAGTACTCTCAAGTCTGTATCCACTTTCGGTTGAACTTTCTTTGACCTTTAAAAAAGCATGCTTGAGTTGCTATACCGCACTGCATTTCCCTGTGTGAAGAAAACAGGCGCAACCTCAGTCCCACCTACCCTTCACTAACCCTCCAGGAGAGAAACTGACCTCAGGTCAGTGCCAAAGGGCAGCACTCAGCAGCAGCTGCTGAGAAAGCTGCATTTGCACCCACACGGTGGCGTAACTACTAGGGCAAATGCACTGGAGCCCATGGTGCAGGGGGACCCACAACAACTGGGCTCCCTAAAATCTTTGTTGGGCCCCTCATATAGATATAGACACAACTGTACACGCATGTTTCACAGAAAGATCCAATTTCTTGACAACATACCTCACTAGTTAGCTTCCATCAACACTACAGAGACGGCACTGACGTCTATCTAACTCGTAATTTATAATGATCTATGATCACGCTTTTCAGACCGACCCTTCTCAACCTGCAATATGATAAATTATATGACCAAAAGTATGTGGACACACAACCATCACACCTATATGAGCTTGTTGGACATTCCATTTCAAAACCATGGGCATTTATATGGAGTTGTTTAGGACAGTGTTTATACAGAGTTTATATGAAGTGATCATAATATTTGTATCATCCCAAATTGACGTGCTACCATTTGGTAATTCGATGCGCTGTGAGATTTAACATACATGGTACTTTATTTGTGGACATTCTAACATCTGGTTTTGCTTAATATGCAGCTTGGCAGACTGCTAATGGGCTAACAGACGAATTCAGTAATATTCAGAGTTAGGCCTTAAATTTTAATATTTATGGAATAATTTACTGTAAAACTGGAACATACAAAGAATAAAAAAAAATAAATAAAAATCCCTGAATGTCTGTTACAAGGTTTGTTTGCCCAAAATCTGTGTGTAGACTTCAGCCATGTAGAATTGAACCCAGTGTGTGCCATTATGTGGGCAGTTTTTTATTATAAACATTGCACACATATAATGTTATTTAAAAATGACATTCAGATCCACAGTCATATGCAAATGTTTGGACCTTCATGGTCAAATAAGTTGATTTTCTGAGGGAAAATAAGTTAACATACTCTCTACAGTGACTCTACAATTATGTTTATTTGCTGAATTAAACATTTTGGAGAAATATAAAACATATTTTGGCCAGGGCAAAGGTTTACGATTTAATGTTTTTTTTCCACTATGTTAAATTCAGCAAATGAATAGAAATTGTACACTAAAATGTACGAATAATATTTCAATGTGTTCTCTGTAAAGGACTTATTTTCACTTAGAAGATCAACAAAACATGGGGGTGCTCTTTGTGTGCTAATGACATTACAAACATTTGAAAAATGAATGCAATATTGTGAACATATTATAAACTGATAAAAAATTAGATAACTATTGTGACTTTTCTTTGGCTAACACGGACTTACAAAAAGCCACATCACAAAATAATACATAAATAATAAGTATTTTCACAATACCTCCAGTGTAATACGGTGATGTAGTTAATGTCCAATTGCCAACCTGCTTGTTCCAACAATGGAATGAATCATGGTTGCAAGTTGTGACAACCACAGAAAGACAAGAGTTTAGAGATAAAAGAGTGGTATTAACATGCATGTGTACAGGAACACCCAGCACAAGTTGGCTGAATATTCTCTTAAAGAAATACACAATCATTCTTTTGACATCCTTTACACACAACTCTCTCTATCTCTTGCCATCTCACACCCTGCCACTGAACTCTGACAAAAAGGGAGACATCTCTGTGTTCTCAGACTTGATGATGTATTCAAAAACAACATGTAAAATCGAAACTTAACATCCCGCAAGTCGTCAACAGCATGACCAAGAGCAGCTGAAACAACAGCACTGAGATAACATCAGATGAGCTAAGTGGGTTAAAAAAGAGAAGAACATTTAACAAAAAAAGTAGAACAAATTTGATGCCAAACGGTGGGATGGGCCTTCCAAAGAGAAGTGGGAGTTTATTTACCCCAAGCAGACAGACTCTACTGTCACTGTGCAGTTCAAGTCGTATTGATTGCAAGTAGAACAACAGGCAACCTAATGCTATTTGTTTAAACAAGAACATGCCATTCAGGATCTCTTAATTTACCTCATTATTCACACCTCTGGGTGGTGGAACAACGTTAGCACATGTACTTGGGCTTGTGAACGGAGCAGTGAGAGCAAGCAGCTTCAGTCAGCTCAGAGAACCAGTTGCAAGAAAACATTAAAAGTACAGACCAGCCTTCATTTATTTCATTTCCAGTCAAAACGGCCATTGAGTACAAGTTATCCTTTTACACATTACAAAGTATACATACTTTTCAGAAGATTAGATACAAGATAATCTTATTGCATAAGGAAGGAGAAAGTCAAAGAAAAATAAGTGCGAAAACAACTTCAAAAAATGATAAAGAGAAAATGGGATTCCTAGCAACTGTGCAAGACTTGGTAGACCACCGAAACTCTCCCTATCAAATAAACAGTACTTAAAGGTTTCATCTTTGAGACAGAGGAGAAAATCAAGCCCCACTCTTGCTTCAGATCTGAAAAAATCCACAGGTTTTTCTGTCCATCCTTCCACTGTAAGAAGACAACTCAACACTATGAGTCTGAAAGAATGTGAAGCTCACATGTAGCCCTTACTGAGACCATGAGTTCTCTGAATAGTGGACTGGCCATCCCAGAGTCCAGACTTCAACATCATTGGAAGCGTTTAGGAATACAAATCATCAGAAGCAGAAGATGACAAGCCAACTTTTAAGACCAAACTTTGGAGGTGTGTAAAAAATATCCCTGCAGATTTCTTGAACTGAAAGCAAGTGTCCAGAAAAGAATGAAAGCTGTAATAAAGGTAAATAGTGGACACATTAAAAGCTGGAAAAAAAAATATTATTTAGTTGTTGAGGTTTCTGTGTAATTTTCTGTTCTATGTTTCCTGGAAGTTAAATGAATAGTTTGTACTTTATGGCCGTATTAAACAGAAATGAAATAAATGAAGGGTGCTCTCTGATTTTTGCACTGCACTCTACAGTCCACCTGCCAGCCAAGAGCAGCTCTGTGGTTACAAACTGACCACTGAAGAACAACTAGAGGATGACAAATACAGTCCAGTGTGGTCCAATGAAACAACCCAAAATGAAGGTAACTAGAGATACAAAACATTAACTTACTGGCCACTTTGTCAGTGGGACAATCGTCCCAGGTACTGTCAGTGTCACTTAGAGAATGATCCAACACCCAAACAATATCTGGACAAAAGCAGTCCTGTGGTCAGAAACTGACCAATGACAAATGGGGTAGAGCGGAGCAGATACACTGTGCAGCAAACAGACTGGCTACAGTCTGCAACTGTACACCTATATAGTGGACTTACAAGATAGGTGGAGTTTATAAAGCGGTCAGTGAGTGGAAGTACACAGGAGGTGGTTTCTACCAAGTTTGTAGAATACAATGTGGTTAGTTACAGTTCTATAGAACTTGTACTATCCCCTGTCCTACACCTCACCTGCACATCAGAGCAGAAGTGCTGCGCTCACATCTCTAATATGCTGCACTAAACCGCTAATCCGGCTAATCCACATAAACACACACACGCTCACAGGCCGCACTTGTCTGGGACACGCTTAACCAGCAGTGTGCAGTGTGTGTTGACGTTCAGTGCAGGCCCTGAGAGTGTTCTGAGTCTTTGCAGGTGCTGTGCAGCATCTGCTGTCCTCACACTGCCCCAGAACACATACATACTTCTACAGCACCAGCTGAAGGTTACTGGCAGAGCATCGGAGGCAGAGCACAGGCAGAAAAAAGGGAGTGCGCGGTGAGGTTGACTGGGAGATTTATGGAGAAAATGTGAAGTGAGGAATTATGCAAGCAGAAAGAGCAAAGACAAACGTGAAAAAAGACATTAATGTGACTGGAAGAACTACTGACACAGGGGTGGAATATAGGTAATAAATAAAAAAATAATGCAGGAACTTTTACATGTAAAAATCACCAGAGACTTATATTTTCACACATACAATACTGTGCAAAAGTCAGAGACCTCCCTTCATGTATTTATTTGCCTGTCAAAGCAGTTTTTCATGTCTGGAAAAAAACATTTAACAGAAAATTATATAATATCATTTTTTTCAGTATTTAGTGTATCCACCTTTTGCCCTTATTACGGCTTCCATTCTTTTCTTGACGCTTACTTTCAGTTTTTCTAAGAAATCTGCACAGATATTTTTCCACACCTCCAAAGATCAGTCTTAGAAGTTGGTTGCATTTTCTGCTTATCAGCATTCAAGCAAGTTTAGACTCATCAGTCTATAAAACCTTACTCAGATGTCTAGCTTCAGGGTTCTAGTGCAAATTTTCTTCATGTCTACTTCCTTTTCTTGGTAAAGTCTTCTTAACAGCAACACATCATTTCAGAACCATAGCACTGAGTCTTCTCACAGTAGAAGGATGGACAGAAACACCTGTGGACTTTTTTGGAGATTTGAAGCAACAGTGAAGCTTCATTCATCTCCTCTGTCTCAAAGCTTTAAGTAGTGTTTACCTGATGGGGACAATTTTGGTGGTCTACTGGATCTTGCGCCGTTGTTAGGAGTTGCATTTTCTCTAAGAGATTTAATCCTTTGTTGATCTCCAGTTCTGAAATCTGTTTTTTTCACTTATTTTCTTTCAGCTTTCTCCTTCTTTATGCAAATGGTTTATCTTATATCTAATGTCCTCAGGAATATCTCAATTGTAGAAACACACAGGAAAGAAATGTGAAGGCAGCTGAGGTGACTTTGGGTAGCTGTTGTGTGAATGTTCATGTCTGTTTGAAAGGAAACATCATGTCAATGAGCTCTTTGGGAGCAGCTTTTGTTGGGAGGACACAGCTGGAACTGGTTGGGTTTAAGATTGGAATGATAAAAGAAGTGGCAAAAGTAAAGACTGGACAAATTAAATACTGATAGATTTGATTTTATACTGCTTATATTTTATACCTAGGCTTTTGGGTCATTTTTAATTAAATATCCATTTGTTGCTTTTTTCTGACACTGAAAAATGTACAACTAACGTAATAAATAACAAACAAATCTAAAATATTCTAAAACTGAAAAAAAAACTGAATCACTTGTATAATTTTCATTATGATGATGCGATTCAGACATATTTTTCTTTAAAAGACACAGACAGACAGGAACGCTTAGTGTAAAAGAGGGTGAGTCATGAGGTGAGTAAATTCTCACCTGCACGTTTGTGGTGGGGATAAACTCCACACTCAAACTACGCTCTAGTTTGTGTTTTGTGCGCATGCACTCACCTGCATGTTTGTGATGGGGGTGTGGCTTCTGACCCTGTGCACTGCTGCCCTGCTGTAGGAACAACGCCGCCCCCTTCACCATTAAAAAGCTCTCACTCAGACTGCAACAGAGAGAGAAAGAGAGAGATTCAGTATTTTGGCACCGTCTTGTCAAATATCAAATATTTCTGATTATTTTCTTATCAGAGTGCCATTCACGCTAGATCAGCACTGCTAAGAACCAGCACCTCCCTGGGGACAAAACCAGCAAAAAGGTCCAATGCACACAGCACAACACCGGCTAAAACAACTGGCAAAAAGGTCCAATGCACACAGCACAACACCAGCTAAAGTAACTGGTAAAACAGTCCAACACACATACCACCACACCAGTTCCAGTAACTGGCAAAAAGATCCAACACACATAGCACAGCAACAGCTTCCTTGACTTGGAAAAGGTCCAATGCATATTACACAACATCAACTCCATAACTGCTCCAATGAATGCCAAAAAGATCCAATGCATGTAAGCACCACACAAGTTTCAGTAAATGGTGAAAAAAATCCAACACACACAGCAAAACACCAGTTGCTGTAACTGGCAAAAAAGTCCAACATACAAAAGCACCACACCGGCTCTAGTCACTCTCAAAAAGGTCCAATATGCTAAACAGAAGGATGAATCCTGTTAGTCTCCTACAAACTTGCTTACCAAACCTTGAGATGGGGAAAATCCTGTGCTGTGACTCAGTGTTTGGTGAGCACTCTGAGCTGAGTTTAATTGTCTCCTGTAAGCCATGCTGGTTTGGGAGAGTGATCCTGAACAGGAGCCAGTCTCAGGAGCCAGAGTGGCCGTGAGGCTTGGGGATGGTTACGCAAGCTGTCTCACCTGCGCTGTTCTGCGTGCTCATGACAGCTTCTCTGGGCTTCTGTGTTCAAGTAGGATGACGTTGTTAATTTCCAACAACGTTTGACTCTCTAACAAAAACAAAAACAGGTGGGGTAATGGCCAATCATGTCAAGCTCAATGGACTTCAAACTAAGCAACAAGGCCTCATTCGTTTTCTCGGAAAGTTCTCAGAAATAATGTGCTCTTTAATCATTTGAGCCATTAGCTCACAGTGAACAAAGCAAAACAAAAGGAGGAAAATTAAAACCAACCATCAGAACCCTAAATTCCATTTTATCAAAGACGATGATTTGAACACTAACATATAGAGGATTCCTTAATCCAGTGGTCACCAATCAAACTCCTTCTTGCAGGTTTTAGCTCCAAACCTTATCCACCACACCTGATCCAACCAATGTGAAGTGTGTGACTTCGACTGAATCAACTTTGCTAGGATTTCGACCGGAGGTGAAATGTGCAGGAGGATCTCCAAGAGGAGGATTGGTAACAACTGCTATAACTCATTACCACAATGTATCTCAATGAGGAAAACAATTATCAAAATGGAAACAATGTCACTAAGAGTGGTTTAATGTGAAATGGCAAATTACAGAGAAACTAACAGATTTCTTTACAGTGGTGGTGACAGGAACCAGGAGTTACAATGTCTACAATGCAAAAACAGCCATTTTATTGACTATTTAAAACCACCAGTGAATCTACATGCATGTTTTGAGTTTTTGTTCATAATGTTGATAATAGTCTAAAAAAGGGGTTTTTGAGTACTATTCTGTCCAGCATATAATGTCAAATAATGTCTCGGACGTCAGGTGCTGTATATGTAACCATGTCATGTTTTATGTTTTGTGAGGGAGTTTTTACACGCATTAAACTCGTCAGACGTCTGGTTTCTATCTCCACAATTTCAAACAATTTTCAAAATGGTGGTGATAGAAACACAACATTTCATATCAAACAACTCTGAATGACGTTAATTTATATCTCAACCATTGAATTATGCACAAATCTTAAAAAGTAACTGGAATGTATTTATAAAAAAGTAAAAAGTAACAACACACCATGTGACCAGAACATGTGACAGCACACATGACTCAAGCTGCCTTGCAGAAGAAGAGAAGGAGGAAAGGCAAAGAAGTAGCTGAAAAACTTCAGGGTTGCGTTTTTTTCTTGCCCAGCTGGGGTCATGACCCTGTGCTGACTCAATTTTTAGGGCATTGTCTCGCTCTGACTGGACTTCCTGTGTCCAGTGTCCTGAGGAACTCAAGGCCACACCCACCAGAAAACGATAAAGAGACAACAACAGAAGTGGCTTTGTCCTTCCTCCTCTCTCTCTTCTCTGTCCCCCCACTCCTTCTCTCTTTATCTACATCTCACTTTCTCTCCCTCTTTCTCTCTCACCCCCTCTCTGTCCCTATCTCTCTCACCCCCCGCCTCTCTCTCTGTCTTCTGCTCCAAAGACAAAGTTAAGCTGTGTAAAGGATGCGGGGGTGTCTGCAGATTACATGGGCTTTTGTTTCACTTCTCTTTTCTTCTATTTCTCTCTCCCTCTTTCACTCTCTTTCTTTCTCTCTGTCCACCCTGCCAGCAATCTACCCCAGGCCTAAGGGGTAAAGGTGTCTATCTGAGAACAAAAGAAAGAAAGTGAGTGATGAATATGAGGAGAAACCACAGAAGAGAGAGAAAAAAGAGAGAGAGGTAAATCAAACAGACTGCACACATCCTGAGGTGTGGGGTTTCGTAGCGAGGCTTACGGAAGCAACAGTATGAGTGAAAGGGGCTTTTGTCTGCAGTGAGCCCCCAGGATTAGCTCCGAGTTCACTAACAGAAAGCATAGCAAGCATACATATTCTACCCTTTAGTAATCACTCGGGGTGTCCAATCTTATGTGTAAAGGGCCGGTATGGCTCCAGACTTTCACTCCAACAAAGCAGGAGGTCACCTGATGAAGCATTTTAAGACTAAGACCAACTGATTAAACAAGTGACGTCAGGTGTGCACCACCTTGTTGGAGTGAAAACCTGCAGCCACATCGGCCCTTTGCGGATAAGACTGGACACCCCTGACGTAGATGGTAGTTGAGGCATCTGATGTCAACCTGCTAAAAAACGGTCAGTCGAGTTTTTACTAGCGAAGCAGCAAAATGAATATCACTGCTGTCGGAAGAAAACCTTGTATCCCCACAGTAGTTAATCTCCACCCATTCAGGCCGAAGTTATAAGGAGCCTGGACTGCCTATATATGAGGGCAGCCAATAGGAACAGAGCTTATTAACATACATCAGCACAGCCTGTTTAGAGAAGTTGGAAAATGGTCATTTGGAATTAATTATGTCATAAGTAGACCTCAAGGAAAGAAATAAATAAAATACAAGAAAAAATTGTAGGTTACACCTTTAAAAGTTGTAAAATTTTGAATGCAATATTTATTAGATTCCAAAAGGCAACTATGGCTGAATTCTAGAGTGCCTGTGCTGTAGGAACAGAAAACAATTTTTGGCCTTTTTTTTCTTTTTTTCTTGAAAAATGTTACCGAACCCCCTCTGTACAAAGTACCTCAAGCCACTGCAGAAATCTATTACCAAAAACACAAAAACCTTAATCTAGATGAATAAATACAGTGTAGACACGGAGGATAATGAATTAAGTGAACTCTAAAACACAGAGGTAAAGTGCAGAGGACTGGAGAGAAGTGACACGTGATTCAGAAATGAAGTATGAATGAGCGCAATAAGGTTTTAACCTAGGCATAACCTGAAGAGGTGAGTCTACAGACCACAATGGAAGGAACTGAGTGACTGTACAGTGCAGTTACAATACTTATTGCCTATAACTCTTTTTCATAAGACTACAAATATTTTATTAAAGCAAACATATCAATAAACCCTGGGTAACATGTGGACATGCTCCGGGTGCAGTCAAGAGCAAAGTCAGTTTAGAATGAGTCCTGTTGCAGAATGATGAACGTCAGCAAGGAGATCATTTGGTTGTCAAAAAGCCTAATTTACTATTTGACTTTATTTTAAAAATGTCAAGTTTGGACTCATCCCTATTAGCTATGAAAGCATGATGAATACGACTCTAGAATAAGTGTAAGACAGCTTTACAACTTGAATAAATGGATTCATGGAGTGGTTGGAGGCCATTATGGTCATCATAAATCAGCTTTTTGATTTGTATTTGTTATTTTCTAAAGCGTCCAGATGAGGCTTTCCATTACAGAGAGAGCTGTGGCAGTATTCCATCCATCCCTGTTCACTCTGGAGTAGTTGGGAAATCTTCAAATGGGCAAGTTTTGCACAGCCATAGTTTATGCTTGGTATGGTTTGAAGAGTTAATACGGTCACAGACAGATATTTTTTCCTCTAGGTGAGGGGTATGCATCTGTTGTTTTGTGTGAGTGTTGTCAGTAAGCCTTCTGTTGGGACCTGAAGCATACATGAACAACCAGTGTTTCTGCTATGGTTCTCCTGCCCCCTAAACCTGCTTGACCACCTTGGAGCCATTTGCATGTCATTCAACCTCCTGCTGTGATGAAAAGTCCCACCTGGACGCTCCAGAGAGTAACAGAGTCATGCAGCATCACATCACTGTTCAATTTCTGTGATGATTTGTGATAAGGTTCATGACTGACCCACCCCTGCGTGAACTCAATCTTTTTCTGAAAGTTGTAATCCTGCCTTACACTTGTGTTGAACTCCTCACTCGCCATATTCTCATATCTAACATCCTGCAGGTACACAATCAGATTTCTGATCATCACAGATCTTTCTTCTGAATGATACCAGTGCCTCTGTTAAATCTTAATTGTAAACTTGTGCTATTTGTATCATAATGTCACTATTTAGTGCAGTCCAGAGGAGTTCCCCTTTTGAGCTTTGGTTCCTTTCAGTCTTTCTTTCTCATGCTCTAGGCTTTTTTCAGTCACTATCTGCCTTGGCTTGAAGTAGCAGAAATTGTAGACTACACAGTTTTTTTTCAATATGCACCAATCTAGTGATGCAACAATTAGTCAAAGTCAGCCCGTCACTATAGGTTGACCATGGAAAAAGTCATATTTGGACAGAATACTGTTGGGCTACAGATGAGTTCAGACAGAATTTGTGAGGCTACAGTAAAACTCAGACTCAATTTTATCAGGCTACATTCAGGTTCAGAGAGATTTGTCAGGCTACACTAAGGCCTGGATGGAATTTTGTCAGGCTAGAATTAGGTT